TTGTAATTCTTCAAGGGCGCATTCGGGCTGTTCGGCGACGCATAGGAAGGCGCATGCTTTTGAGGGGCGCCCTGAAGCGGCACCGAAGTTCTTCCGTACCTTTTGCTGCCACTCAAGCAGCTGTGTGATTTTGGGCAATACGGGGACTTGCACGGTGTCTGACTCCTTGATATGAGTAGTGCTGTTAACCGAGACCGCAGACAGTGGTTGCGAGGGTATGGGTTCACCGTCAGTGGTCGGTTCTGTGCGTGCTGGAGACGCATGGCGTTTCTGCGCAGAAGCTGCCGCTGAGGCTGCCCCTGGCGACGTACGTCTTGGTTGTCCCGCAGAAGCGTGTGGTGCTTCAGCGGGCGTTGCCGTCGGCCTGTCATGGCCTGACGATGGCTGGGGGTGAAGTGTAGTGTCGTTGGTGTGGTCGATCCGTAGATTCGTCCAGTTCGTCATGTCCTCGTGTATTTGGTCCTCTTGTTGGCGTACAGATCGTAAATCGCGCTTGGGCGAAGTGATCTCCTCGTCTGTGCCCCGAGAGCGCTGGGAATTCCGATCAGTCCTCTGCTCGTAAGCTCGGAGACGGGCGTTGCGTGCCTCCAGTTCACTTTCCAGACGCGTCAGACACTCCAGAACACGTACCTTTTCAGCATCTCTGTCCCGAAGGGCCTGGGAGAGCCCAGACTGCGCGCGGTCCGCCGCCGTCCTAACGTCCTGCAACCTGTCAGTGAAGGGGGCGAGATCGTAAACCGTAGGAGGAGATCCCAGCTGGCCAGTCTGGGCTCGTCCAACACGCAACTCTGCCAGGGCGCCCTGTGCACTAAGTCAACGCTGCTCGATCACAGAGATCCGGTCAGTGAGGGGCTGCACGGCAGCGTTGGTCGCATCGAGCCGTTGAGCGAGGACTCTTTCAGTATTCTGCAACATTCCGATCAGGGTCGTCGAATTGGTAGTTGCTTCAGCACGAAGCGTAGCCGTAGTGTGTTCCATATTTGATCGAAGGTCATGGATTTGGGACTGAACGTCGCCGAGGTCGCGTGCCTCGGACGGAGGCGGTCGATTTCGCAGCTGATCATGGATCTCGTCGTGCAAGGTCCCGGCCGCAGAAACGCCTGTGTCACGGACGACAACAAGCTGCTGCTCCATCTGCACAAGGTAGTTGCGCAGGTGCTCGACCGTCGCGGACCGTTCACCTGAGTATGATACTTCACGGTCAACCTGAAACTGCAGCTCTCCTGAGATACGACGATCTGCAGCGATCCTGGAATCTATGATCGCTAAGGCGCCGCCGAAGTCTTGACGAAGAGCGGCAGTGTGTGCGGCGTTCGTCTGAACGCGCTGCACTCGTCCAGAGTACTGCCTGGACACGAAGGTTTCAACCTGGTCTCGCAGCTCAGCAAGATCACGTGCAGCGAGCGCAGCCGCTGGCAGGTCGTCTGAAAGAAAGAGGTGAGGAGCGTCAGCTCCCTGGTGCACCCTGTCGCGAGGAGTGCGTGGCCTCTGAGAGGCCGCGCGCGGGCTCGACCCATTTTCGTCGTAGGGGCCTGTGGCCCCACGACGGTTACACATGGACGAGCTGCGGCTAGGGCCGTGTGCGTGGTGTCGGATGAGATGATGATACCTTGGGATGATGCGTCTGCGGCTGCGCCGCCACTGGTCTGCCGAGCTCCTCGAAAGCGGCCGCGTGCGCCGACGCTGGGACGGTGGCAGGGCTGGCTGGGCCAGCGCTACTGTTCCAACGGCGGTTTGCGCGGAAGCGCCCAGGAGTATCGGGACCAGTGGGGCTCGCGCCCGACGCAGCGGGGGTTGCCCCCGACGTAGGAAGAGGAGATGGAGAGATGGAGGATCGAAGGTAGGCGTGTGAATTCCTCCAATGCCTGCTCCTACTCCTTCTCCTGTCCCCCCGTGGGCGGCGCGGCGGCGAAGTTCAGCCGCTCACGCGCCTCGGGTCCGTCGGAGCTGGGGGGGGGGGGGGGGTATCTGGGACACCCACACGGTCACCTCCAAGGCTCTCCAACTCATCACCGAGCCGTCGCGCCGTCGGAGAGCTCGGACGCTGAGCCGCGAAGGATCCCTTACGGCGCATGCGCCGCGGGGGATCCGTCGGGGCTGCGAGCGAGATCGCGACGCAGGGTTCGGTGAACGGTGAGCTTTAAGGGCTGATAACCTGTGTATGGGGTTAAAGCACAAATGTACAAAACCCCTGATCCGTAGGTCGAGGAAGGAGGGAAAGATAGGGATCTTTTCCTCCTGTGCGATCAGCGTCCTGATCTAAGCCAATACCTGAGCCCAAAAGGCGAGCAAACAGGCGAGTGAGGAGTAGGGATGGAGGTATGAGACGGGTTCATTTCACAGCCCCGGAGAGAAGAAGGTCGAATTCATCTTGCGTCATCTGTCTCGTCTCGTCCTCCGCCCGCCTGCATTTCAAAGGCCCTTGTGGTGGATGGACGAGGCGCCTGACTTGCTATCCTGCAGCCTACCGCGGCCCACTTTTACTCCACGGGTGGAGCGCCCAGCGGCCTGCGCAAATTAGGATGATGATGATGACGATGATGATGATGATGAGGAGGAGGAGGAGGAGGAGGAGGAGGAGGAGGGGAAGGAGGAAGAGGGGGAGGAGGAGGAGGAGGAGGAGGAGGAGGAGGAGGAGGAGGAGGAGGAGGAGGAGGGGAAAGGAGGAGAGGGGGAGGAGGGAGGAGGAGGAGGAGGAGGGGGAGGAGGAGGAGAAGGAGGGGGAGGAGGAGTTAAGGTACCCTGAAAGAGACGAGACGAGGGCAAGCGGGCACGACGCGAGACGATGGCAAATGATGATCGTCCGCGGCGCCCGTCGCTAACTCTCTCACCTGTGAAGTAATGCTTTGGCAGCTCGGCTCGCTGCGGCCATCGCCGCAGGGCGGGAGCTCGGGCCAGTGTGATGCTTCATGTTGCTATACGTGTGAAACGCTAGCGTAATGCGCTCAATCGTTGAGCGCAACAAAAGCGGACTCGGACCCCATCTAGCAGGCCTCAAGAGACGGGCAGTGAGAACATTGAAACGGATGTTTCCTCAGAGAAGACCCTGAGACCCTGGCGCCCCCATTTTCTGTTGAACCGGGCGGTTTCGCCAGGTTTCGGGCCCTGGGGCCCTCATAGATCGATCCGGCTAAAGATGGCGCAGGAAATTGGGGTCCAGGGTTCTGGCAGTTGTTTGTTATACGATGTTTCTTTTTTTCCGCGTCATTGGATCTCGGGGCAGGTGCCGATGACGCCACCCTTGCCCCGTTTTCGCATGTTTGGATCTCCTTGGAGGCTCTCGTCGCCACCGCTGGATGCGCTCTGAAATTCTGCTCAAAACGCACCCCTGGAGAGGTCCGTGGAGTGGCGGTACAGGGTCCGGCTTGAATAAGGAACACTTCCTTTTCAAAAGGGGTTCGGTCGCTCCTTTGGTTTGAATGCGTTCCGCCTCCTTTTTGGCGGCGAGTCCCCCTAGTGTTCTTTCGAACTTCCTAGAGTTACTTGGAAAAATAGGGGCTGCACTCCTTATCCATCATTCCTTAGGTCAGGCCGAATACTGTATTGGTGTCTCTTGGTTCCCCGTCCTCCTCGATCTTCAGCCTCTGGGGGGCCCTCGACGCTCAGCTGAAGCCGTCGGAGCACGACTCGGGACGAAAAGTCGGTCGCAGGGAAAGGCCCGAGGCCTCTGCTTGGATCACCGCTGTGGCTGCTGTGTGGGCAGGGGGCTTATACTTGGACGCTGCGGTGAGCTAGCACACCAGACACACCCCCAATCAGTTGATTTTTGAACGTTTCGCAGGTGCCTCAGTCGGCCTTCCTCCCGCCCTAGTCTAATTCGAACTTACGTTCTAGTCCAGTATAGTAATTCTTATACGTTCCTCCCTCTCTTTTTGTCATTCTGTCTTATTTCTCTCCCTCTCTCCCTCGTTCTACCTCCCTCTCTCACTCTTTTTGCCTCTCTCCCTCTCTATATCCGTATGCATCACTCCCTACACCTTCCTGTGCACACACACACATGGGCAAACCACCTGGGGCACTGCTAGACAGTTGAAAAGATGGGTTCGGCCAGCCATCGCCCACTGTAGCATCCACTCATAAGCCCCCTGTTCACTGTAGCACCCCCCGCGGTGATCCACGTGGAGGTGCACGTCGTGACAGGAATTCAGACGTCGGAGGTCTGGGGAGACGGGCAGTGCCCGGTGGCGGGTGCTTCGGGGGGGGCCACTGGAGGAGACACTGGAGGCGGCTCTAAGCTTGCGGGGGGCCGCTGGGGTCCAATGGTGGCCATTGGAGGAGCCACTGCGGCCACTCAGGTGATTACGAAAGGCTCCCAGGAACGTCTTCGGAACAGCAGGGCTGAAGCCCTCTGGGGGTCAGACGGCCCAGCACTGGTTCGAGCCAGCGAGAAGGGCGGGCAGGTTCGAGGCTCTGGGTTCGGTAAGGTTACTTTTATTTGTTTTTTGATGTTTCTGCCTCCCGAGGCCGCTTCGGGACCCGGGACCGACGAACGGATCCGGGGTGCAAATTTGCACCAGGTGGACCCTGAGGCGAGTTTGGAGACCGATTTGGAACGGATTCGGCCCCGTCCGCCCCTCCCGACCGATTTTCTGGAGCCCTGGCCAGTTGAGACCCCCCGGCCGCCTGCAGCAGGAGGGGCTCTGGTGTCCTCTGGCCTCGCCTCCGCGTCGTGTCGGGGGGCCTACCAGTCGTGGACGAGGCCGGCCGTGGGCAGGAGAAGTTACTCTGCAATTTGGCGCACACACATAGCTATGTACCTATACATATATAATATATACATCAGCGCACACATATATATACATATATATATGTATATATATACACACCTACAATCACATATCCACGCACATACATATATAATGCATATGTGTAAATGTATGTACGTGAACATCAGTATGTGTATTTGCTACTGATTGACCAGGTGTTGCTAGATATCTTCGCCGTGAAGAAATGATACATGGCCGATTCTGCTCGCCCCCCTCGCTGGCCGCGCGCGGCGCCTGTGGTAGGCGTGGACCAGCGCGGAGATGTCGCGCTGGAAGGAGCACCTGCTCGTGAATTCTGGCTGCCCCTTCTGTGTCTGTCTCAGTCGCTGTCTGTCTCTTTATATACGTGTTTATAAACACGTTTGGTTTGCTTTTAATCGTGTTGTTGTTGAACGCTCACTTCGGAAAAATAATCTTTGTTGATCCCCCCTCTGGTGCCCATTGTGTGTGTGTGTTTTTGCTGACGTGTCCTGTCTGGGGCTCGCACCCTGTTTTTTTACATGGGAAAGAGCTGGGTCTCAACACTGCGAGGTTGGCCCCCGATCTACTACAACAACAGCTCCCGCTTAAAACTTGCTCAGAAGTCACAATTTGTTGAAGGTTGGCGCTCTGGCTCGGGACTTCCTCGCAATTTACACATGAATCGCCCTCTCCTGTGGGACTTCTCGCAATTGATTCAGGCGCCGCGCCCTCGACACTCAGTCATCAAGCTCTCGCCGAGGCCTTCCTGACGATTTGCTAACAACGGTGCTTTTGCGATGTATACGGGTACCGCGCTCTCGCTCGGACCTGTCGTGCAGTGTACCCAGGAATGGCGCTTTCGCGCGGCAGCTCCTCGCAGCCTGCCGAGGAATCGCAATTCTCGACCGAGATTTCTTTGCGACTGGTCGAACAATTTGATGGCCCGCCCACCCGGCCCGCCCGACCCGCCCGCTGGGGCCCGCAGTCGTCGCTCGCGGCCGCCCCGCCCGCCCGACCCGCCTGCCTGGGTCCGTTCCCGGTTTTCCGGATCCTCTCTCTGCCCCCTCTCCTGCTCGTCTCTCCCGTCCTCCATCCTTCTCCCTCCCGCCTGCCACTTCCCTCTTCCCTCCCTCTCCGCCACTCTTTCCCTCCTCGTCCTTTCCCTCGTCCTCCTCTCCTCCCTGTTTTAGGGGCTGCGCCAACTACGCGTGGCAGAAACGCTGCGCTCTCGATACTCAGCGTTTTCGGCGTTTTCTTATTCGGCGTTTCGACCTTGGGCGGAAGGGAGGGAAAAGGGGGGAGGCTGGCTCCGGACCTCTGCTTAATGCCACTGTTTGCAACAGTGTGGCCCATGGGGGAGACCCCACCTGTTCGACACGGGCGCCAAAAACGGCCAAGATCTACTCCATGCGGGGGGGGAGGGGGGGTGCGAAGGCCCGCGACGATCGGCAAAACAATGAATGAGAAAACGGTAACCTGCAAGCACGCCAGGACCGTAACCCCCGACGTCAGGATCTTTTCTGTGACGCGACCACCAGAGGTCCAGACCAATTCCCTGGGACCGGTTTTTCATCCTGAGTTGTTTTTTGGCGGTCCCGAGTGCCAAAAAGGGCTCCCAGAGGCCGAAAATACCAAAAAACCTCCAGTCGTGACTTTTTCGTGACTCAAGGGGGTCCTCGCCCTGAACTTCCTCACGAGGAGCTTGGGCATCGCGCTGTCGCTCGAAGCCTCCAGCGCGATCCGGTGCAGGACTGACGCTGCAGGCCCGCCCAGGCCCGCGCCCGCCCGACCCGCCCGGCAGAGGAACCCCCGCCCGCCCGACCCCGCCCGGGTCTGGCGCTGCCGCCTGTGTGTTCTCGGCTCCTCGGCCCTCTCCTGCTAGTCCTTCCCCCTCCCCTCCCTGTTCCTTCCCTCCTCCCTCCCTCGTGCCCCCTCCTTCCCCCTCGTCTTTCTTCCCCCCCCCCTTGCTCCTCTCCCCTGTGCGCCACACTTCTCCCTCGTGCTCCATCCTTCCCCCTCGTGCTCCATCCTTCCCTCCCCTTCCCCGTTCCTCTCGTTCCTTCCCTCCTCCCTCCCTTCCCCTGTTTAGGGGCTGCGCCCACTGCCTGCACGTGGCAGATATGGGAGAGAATGCCCAAGGGGGGTACGATCGAAGACGAAGAGGGCGGGCATCCAGGGTTTGGGATATAGATGTTGACCGATACGCGAGCAAATGCGAATGAACAATACTAACATGACTTGTGTTTAGCTTCCACTTATTAAGAACAATTGTTGTTGATCCCCCCTGCCTGGTGCCCACTCAATTTTTCTGTGAAAATGCTCCTCCCGAGGATCGCACCGTGTTTATTACTAGGGGGAGTATTGTGCCTCAGATTGTGTTCCTGGCCCCCGGTTTACTTCAACACCGGCTCTCGCCGAATACTTCCTCGCACTTTTTTCGGAATCGCGCTCTCGCGGTGGAATTACGCACAACGTGCACAGGAATCGTGCTCTCGTGTGGCACTTCCTTGTAATGTATTGAAACGCAGCGCCTTCGACACTCAGGCACGCTCTTGCCAGGGACTTCCTCACGGTTTACTTGGGAATCGCGCTGTCGCTCGAAACATCATCGCGATTCACGTTGGATTGACTCGTCAGCGACCCGCCCGCCAGACCCGACCGTCTGGGCCCCCCCTGCCCGACCCGCCCGTCAGGGTTCGCCCGCCCGCCCGACCCGCCCGCCTGGCTCTGCCGCTCTCTTTCCTGCAAGTCTCTCTCGTGCTCCGGCCTTCTCCCTCCCCCTTTTGGACGCCCGAGTTATCCGGGGTAACTCGGTTCCGGGATAACTCGGGTTTGGATTCCCGAAAAAGGAACCCGAGTTAGCCCTGACCCGAGTTATCCCTGATGATTCGGGGCTCTGGGCGCCCGAGTTATCCGGGGTAACTCGGTTCCGGGATAACTCGGGTTTGGATTCCCGAAAAAGGAACCCGAGTTAGCCCTGACCCGAGTTATCCCTGATGATTCGGGGCTCTGGGCGCCCGAGTTATCCGGGGTAACTCGGTTCCGGGATAACTCGGGTTTGGATTCCCGAAAAAGGAACCCGAGTTAGCCCTGACCCGAGTTATCCCTGATGATTCGGGGCTCTGGGCGCCCGAGTTATCCGGGGTAACTCGGTTCCGGGATAACTCGGGTTTGGATTCCCGAAAAAGGAACCCGAGTTAGCCCTGACCCGAGTTATCCCTGATGATTCGGGGCTCTGGGCGCCCGAGTTATCCGGGGTAACTCGGTTCCGGGATAACTCGGGTTTGGATTCCCGAAAAAGGAACCCGAGTTAGCCCTGACCCGAGTTATCCCTGATGATTCGGGGCTCTGACCCTTGTCTCTTCCCTCCTTACTCCCTTCCCCTGCTTTAGGGGCTGCGCCAGCTGCACGTGGCAGGTCAGAAAGATCTACGGCAGGTTCTCGTCGTGTCGACCTGGGCGTTGGTTCCTGACACCGCGGGGATCGTTCAACCTTGAACGATCGGCCGCTGCCGCAACGTCCAATCGTTCAACATCGAACGATTCTGGGTCGCCCGCGGCGTTCAAGGTTGAACGCCGCTGGCGGGGTCGCCGCCGGTCGACACGACACTAACCTACCGTACCCCTGGGGGGGGGTACGATCGAAATCGAAGAGGGCGGGTATCGAGGGCTTGGAATATACGTGTTTACTGACACGCGAGCATCTGACAACGACTACTCTTAAACTGATCCCAGTCTAACTTTTCAAGAACAATTATTGTTGCCACCACCCGGTGAGCATTGTATGTTTCAATTACAGAGCTCCTTCCGTGGCTCGCGCCCTGCTGCTTAATCAAAGAATGTCTGTGGTCACCAAACTCCGCCCCTGGCTCCCGGTTTACAGCGACAGCTGCTTCCGTCTGATACTTCCCCACAAAATACTTCAAAGTCGCGCTATCGCGTGGTACTTCCTCACAATGTATTGCGGCGCCGTGCCCTCAAGACTCACAATTCACGCTCTCGCTGTGGATTTCCTGGCGATTTGCTTGGGACTCGCGTTGTCGTTCGAAACTTCCTTCGTGATGGGTTGACGCTTTAGCGACCCGCCTGCTCGACATGCCGTCTGGGTCGGCCCTCTTGACTTGCCCGTTAGGGTCCGCCCGCCCGACACGTCAGGCTGGTTCTGCCGCTTGTGTTGCTGTTCCTAACCATCCTCCTGCACATTTCTTTCGTGCTCCATCCTTCTCACACCCCCTTGTCTCTTCACTCCCCCCTCCCTCTCGTGTTTTAAGGACTGCGCCAAGTTCACTGGCAGGTAGGGAAGATATGCTCCCAAGAGGGGTTACGATCGAAGACGACGAGGGCGGGTACCGAGGGTCTGGGGTAAACGTGTTGAATGGCACGCGAGCAGATAAGGGTGAACAGCATTGAACGTATTTGTGTTGTTGTGGATGTTGTTATTGTTGTTGCTGTTGCTTTTCGCGCTGTTCTGTTTTTGTGTTAGTGGTATTGCTCTTGTTGTTGTTGTTGTTGTTTTTGGTGGTGGTGGATTCTCGTCTCTGAAACATATATTGTTGATCCCCCCTCGGGTAACCGTTGCAACTGTTCAATCGGAGTGTCTTCTTCGGGGCTCCCACCCTCCTTTTTACATGAAATGCCACCAAACTAAGCCCCAGGCCTCCGAGTTACAACAACCACGGCTCCCGGTTGATACGTCGTCACAATATATTCCCAAATCGCGCTCTCGCGAGGGACCTCCTCACAGCGCATGCAGGAGTCGCACTCTCGCATGGGATTTCCTCGCAAATTATTCAGCCGCCGAGCCCTCGACACTCAGGAATCACGTTCTCGCACTGGTTTTTCGCACGGTTTACTTTGGAATCGCGTTATCGCTCGAGCTCTCCTCGCGATCCAAGCAGCACTCACGCCTCAGCAGCACGCCGTGTGGACCTGGCCACTTGGATCCGCCTTCCCGACCTGCCCGTCAGGGTCTACCCGCCCGATGGGCCTGCCTGGTTCTGCAACGTGTTTTCTGATCTCAGCCCCCCTCCTGCTAATCCCGTGTGCCATCCGTCCTCTCTTCCCCTGTTTCAGGGGCTGCACTAATTACGCGCGACAGGTAGAGAGATATCCCCCCCAGGGGTACCATCGAAGACGAAGAGGGCGGGTACCGAGGGGTTGGGATATATGTGTTGAGTGGCAAGCGAGCAGGCAATAGCGACGATTGCGGTTGTTGTTGTTGTTGATGTTGTTGTTGTTGAATGTTCATTGCTAAACAATAATGATAAATTTAAATCCCTCACAGGCGCCCTGGCGCTCTCGCCGAGGCACCGTCTGCATTTCCATTGAAAATGAAACTCACTCTCAAGCGGTTTGGGGGGCCGCCAAAACCGGCCCCCCAACAACAACAACAACAACAACAACAACAACATCACCAACAACAACAACAACAACAACAACAACAACAACAACAACAACAACAACAACAACAACAACAACAACAACAACGCTCCCGTTCGAGACTTCCTCCTTTTTTACTCAGGGCCGGTGCTCTTGCTCGCCACCGAAAGCAGCCGTCTCAACGAAACCAGCGCTCCCGCTCGAGACTTCCTCCCGCTTTACCTTGGACAGGCGCGCTACTCTTTCTCTCATCGGCGCCGCCCCCCAGCAACAACAACGCTCCCGCTCGAGACTTCCTCCCTTTTTTACGCAGGGCCGGTGCTCTTGCTCGCCGCCGACAGCCCTCGTCCCGACAAAACCAGCGCTCCCGCCCGAGACTTCCTCCCGTTTTGCGCTGGGCTGGCGCCTTCTTCTCCTCCTCCTCCTCCTCCTCCTCCTCCTCCTCCTCCTCGTCCTCGTCGTCCTCTTCCTCTTCCTCCTCCTCCTCCTTTTCCTCCTTTTCCTCCTCCTCCTCCTCCTTCCTCCCCCTCCCTCCTGTTCCTCCCTCTTCCTTCCTCCGCCCCCTCCTCTTCTCCCTCCCCCCCTCCATCCTCCGTTACTCTTTCCTCCCTCCTCGTCCTTCCCCCCTTTTCCTCCCTCTCCTCCTCCTCCTCCTCCTCCTCCTCCTCGTCCTCCCTCCTCCTCCTCCTTTTCCTCTTCCTCCTCTTCCTCCTCCCCTTTTTCTCCTTCTTATTTTTCTTATTCTTCTTCTTCTTCTTCTTCTCATTCTTCTTCTTATTATTGTTATTATTCTTCTTAGTATCTTCTTCTTCTTCTTCTTCTTATTCTTATTATTCGTATTATTCTTATGTGTCTTCTTATTATTATTATTCTTCGTCTTCTTCTTCATCATATTCGTATTATGATTACTTGTATTCGCCTTTTTCGTATGATTAATAACATTATTATTAATGTTATTCCTCTTCTGCTTCTACTTCCTCCCCCTCCTCCTCCTCCTCCTCCTCCTCCTCCTTTTCCCCCTCCTCCTCTTCCTCCCCCTCCCCCTCCCCCTCCTCTTCTTCCTCCTCCTCCTCCTCCTCGTCCTCGTCCTCGTCCTCGTCCTCGTCCTCGTCCTCGTCCTTCTCCTCGTCCTCCTCCTCCTCGTCGTCGTCGTCGTCGTCCTCCTCCTCCTCCTGCTCCCCCACCTTTCTTCGTCCCTCCTCCTCCGTCCACCCCGTCCTCCTCTCCCTCCACACTCCTCCCTCTCCCGTCCCTCTTTCCTCCCTCCTCCTCCTTCCTCCTTCCCCTTTTCGTCCCCCTTGTCTCCTCCTTCCTCCTGCCTCCTCCCTTCCCTTTCCGTCCTCCCTCGTCGCTCCCGCTTGATACTTCCTCAACTCTTTACTCAAGACTGGGGCTCTCGTTTCGGCGTCGCCTCTGGGGGGCTTCCAACAGCCCCTGTTGAACCTTAATTCGCCAGCCCAACGGGTCAGACGCGTGCTGAGATCTCCAGCGACTGCTCTACCGTATTTCTACTTCGCGCGCGGGGGGCGGCCCTTGGTGGCCCCCGGAGGAAAAACACCCCTGCGGGGTCGGGTCAAAGATGGGTTTCCGTTGGGGCGCCGCCCTCGAGACCCTCCAGAGAGCCCCGAGAAGGGTCAAGAGACCTCCAAACGGCCCCCAATATGATACAAGAGGGCGAGAAGATGCCACATTATCGTTCCAGGATGCCCGAGATGGCCCCCAGACGCCCCGAGATGTATCCAAAAACGCTTTCAAGAGAGCCCCAATATGCAAGCATCATTTTTCCCTGAGGTGTTGGAAAGATTTGGGCGCTTCCACCTTTTCGGCTCCCCGACGCCTCAAAACGGCCCAAGAGGCCCCCAAGATCGCCCCCAAGAGGGCCAATGGGGCCCCCAAGAGGGCCCCAAGACGGCCCCGCGACGGCCCAGAAGGCCGCCGAGACGGCCCAGGAGGGCCCCTAGAGCGCCCCAAGAGCGGCCCCAAAGGGGGAGCGCGAAACAGCATTTCGAGGCCGCGGTCCTGAGAGGCCTCCAGGAACCCCCTAAGAGGCCCCGAGGGGCCTCATGAGACCCCGCGAGGCCCCCAAGAGGCCCCCAAAAGGCTCTAAGAAGCCCCCGCGAGGCCTCCTGGAGGCCCCAAAAGTCCCCCAAGAGGCCCCCGCGGGCGGGCGGCATGAGCGAAGCGACTCAATAATTACATAACTATCATTTTTGGGGAGCGTCGATAATGTGGAGGAGGGGGGGAGAAGGGGGACGGAAGACTTCCAGGGGCTCCGAGGATCGAGGGTCGAAGGATTGACTTCAGGGATTCCTTGAAAAGATGTGGAGGGGCAGGTGGGGGATGCGAGCATGGGAGCGGCAGCGCCTGGGGGCGCGAACGTTCAGGGTCACGCGCCGACGCCGCAGGATGGTGGCGTGACAGTTCGAACGAGGAGTAAGAACCACCTCGTCCTCGGAGGTACTGCTACTACAACTACTCCTCCTTCCTCCCCCTCCTCCTCCTCCTCCTCCTCCATCCTCCTCCTCTTCCTCTTCCTCTCCCTGATCGTCCCTCCCCTCTTTGTTCTTTTCCTCATCATCCGAGATGCGGGGCGTGCGCAGGGCGATTGCGATGGAGATGTGCCGTCCAGGCTGTGCATGCCGAAGTTCCTCGGATGAGGTGGTGGCACTGTTTTTTGGGGCGGGATAGCAGGGTGAGGGCATACCGGGCCCCGCGTGCCAGCAAACATCCCCATGATAGGGGTGTGGTATCCAGAAGGATGCATGTGACATGTGGAAGCATGGCGCATGATGGTAAAAAAGATTCAACATTATTGTTGGGTCTCCCCTTCCGGGGCACATTTCAATCAAAGTGCTCCTCCCGGGGCCCGCGCCCTGTTTTCTACAAGTGAAATGAAGTGTCACCAAACTGGGCCCCTGGCCCCCGAATTGCAATTACATCGGTTCCCGTCTGGTACTTCCTCACAATTTATTCCAGAATCGCGCTCTCGCGAGGGACTACCCCACAATGTACACAGGAATCGCGCTCTCGCATGGGACTTCCTCGCAGTGTTTCCAAATGTCGCGCTCTCGACACTCAAGAATCACGCTCTCGCTGTGGATTTCCTGACGATTTACTTGGGCATCGCGCTATCGCTCAAGACTTCCTCGTGATTCATGCAGGATGCCGCACGGTTCAGCAACCCGCCTGCCCATTTTCCCTCCCCCTTGCATCCGTCCTCTCTTCCCCTGCATTCGGGGCTGCACGAAATACGCGTTGCATGTAAGAAAGGTACACCCCCAAGGGGGTCGGATCAAAGACGAAGAGGGCGGGTATCGAGGTTTGGGATATAATGTTGAATGGCACGTGGGGGGAGGGGGGGGGGGCTCTGCACCTCTGCTTAGCGCGACTGTTTGCAGCAGTGCGTCCATTATGGGAGAAGCTCCGCCTGCTCGAAACAGGCGCCCAAAGCAGCCAAAGTCTTTTCCAGGAAGGGGAGAGGGGGTTTGGGGGCCCGCGCTAATCGGCAAAACAATGAATAAGGAAACGATCACGAGCGAGACTTGTTGCGCTTTTTGTTTGGGGGCAACTGCGCCTCCTCGCCCTGCCTCTCCGCCGCCTCCTCCCCTCCTTCTCGGGCTCCTCCTTCCGAGCTCGGGCGGCCTGGCAAAACACGACAGGCCACCGACCATCGGAGAAGGCCATCACACCCGGAGCAAGACGTCGCCCCAGGACGGCCCAAGAGGCCCCGTGAAAGGCCCGCAGGGCGGCCCACGAGGGCCCCAAGGCAGCCCAAGGAGGTCCCCCAAGACTGCCCAGAGACCTCCAAGACTGCCCTAAAGCCAGCCCCAAGGCGGCCCTCGAAGGCCACGAGGTCCCATCGAAGCACCCAGAGGCCCCTACGACCTATGTCACTGCGCCGGCCTTGCAGACGTGCTGCAGCGGATTTCCGCGTGGATTCTGTCAATGCAAAACCCCGAAAGGGCGAGTGAACAACGAAATCGATTTCGCGTGGATGTTTTAACCTTCATTCCTGGTCCCCAAAAACCCGCGCGAAATTCACCTCGAAATCCGGAACGAAATTCTCCAGGACATTCCGGGCCCATCCTATCGTTTTCCGAACGAAATCCGCTCTGCGATGTTGGCAGCATGACAAGCGGACACGAGCAGGAAATTGAGCATTGGAGAGGTGTTAGAGGCTCGTGCCATGGGCAGATCGATGCGCAGCCGTCAAAAGGCAGGTCCTGAAGAACACGTCTCCGCCTGGGTGGATCTTCTGCCAATCGGAGAAATCGTATATCTTGCCGTCAATGTAGTAGTGGTCCTTGTGCGGGTTGTCGGACATGTCCACCGTACCCTTGTCCAGCGGCTGCTCCTTCCAGGGAACAGCTACCTCACGCAATCTTGGCGTGGAACGTGTCGAAGGGGGGGGGCAGTACGAGTAAGGGGGCACCGGCTCGGGTGAGGAAGCATCGACCTGGAATCGGTGATGCATCGCCGAAAGAGTCGCGATACGACACCGAGAATCTGAATGCTCCTGGGCGGGGTGAGCCATCGGGCCCCTATCCGGTGATCAGCGAACGATTTTTGGGTCGATGCGACCCCCCTGAGTCTATCCCCCCCAGCGGTGCCCCCGAGGGAGGGAAGCGGGTCCTGGACCCCGATGCTTGCCCCCAGCAGGACCAGTTCACCACCCCGAGCTGCTCTTTTTGCTGCTGACGCCCGGGAGACTCGGGGAGGGCCCTGGGGAGGCCCGGAAGCGGCGGAAAGCCTGTGAACCCATCTCCCTCAGGACCCCCGTCCCCCTCACTTCGGAGAAGAAACACGGCACAAAACTTTCGGAGGTCCGCGCGGATTTTTTGGATCGGCGCTGGGCCCGCCCTCCCTGGCGCGCGGAGCGAGCTAGGGGCGGCGCCAGAGGTGCTGCCATCCGCCAACGGGGTCTGGCGCTGATCCAAGACATGATCGACCCACGAACCCGGAAAGGCAGGAGAAATGTGAGGCATGGCAACGTTTCAAAGACACTTGATTGGGCGACGGGCAAATGCAATGCTGAATGTATCGATTTTGTTTTACTGTGCTGAGGGCTGTGTTGTGCTACGCCGTGCTGAACTGCGATGTTCCATGCCGCGATTGTGCTCTATATAGCGTTGTGGATGGAGTCCGCCCTGGCATCCGAGTCCTGACCGAACTGATCTGGATCTTAAGCTCGAGCTGCCTGAGCAGATGGTAGCTGCCCCATAACCAATCGACAGAGGGGACATGCCAGGAGGACGCGCCGCGGAACGTCCCAAGAAACGCGCCCGGCGACGTGCCAGGGGACGTGCCATGGGCACGCACCGCGGGACGTGCCAAGGGGACGCGCTACGGAACGTGCCAACGGACGTGCTGCGGGACGTGCCAGGGGACGCGCCGCGCGACGTGCCAGGTGGACTCGCCAAGGAACGCGCCAAGGAACCTGCCAAGTTGCAATGTTGAATGTATCGATCTTGATGTACCGTTCCGACGGCTGCGCTGTGCTGGCCATGCTGAACTGCGATGTGCGATGCCGCGATTGTGCTCTATATAGCGTTGTGGATCGAGTCCTCTTTACATCCGAGTCCTCACCAAACTGATCTGGATCTTAAGCTCGAGCTGCCTGAGCAGATGGTAGCTGCCCCATAACCAATCGACAGAGGGGCATGCCAGGAGGACGCGCCGCGGAACGTCCCAAGGGACGCGCCAGGCGACGTGCCAGGGGACGTGCCATGGGCACGCACCGCGGGACGTGCCAAGGGGATGCTACGGAACGTGCCAATGGACGTGCACCGCGCGACGTGCCAGGGGGACTCGCCACGGGACGCTCCGCGGAACGTGCCAGGCAACATGCCAGGCTGCAATGCTAAGGGTATCGATATTGATGTACCGTGCCGAGAGCTGTGCTGTGCATGCGCGACCTGGACACGTGAAAACACGTGTTTCGCTCAAGACGTTCTCAGCACATCCTCATGCTAGACATCCTCCTGGGCAACCTGGACACGTGCAAACAAGCGTCTCGATCGCGACTTCCTCGACACATCCTCATGCTAGACATCCGCCTGGGCGACCTGGGCACGTGAAAACAAGGTTCTGACTCGAGACATCCTCAACAAATCCTCATGCTAGACATCTGTCTGGGCAACCTGGAGGCGTGAAACCAAGCGTCTCGCTCGAGACATCCTCAAGACCTGGGCACGTGAAAACAAGCACTTCACTTGAGAGATCCTCTGAATTCAGGTCCCCAGGAGAGGACACTCTATAACACAAAACAAGCGTTTCGCTCGAGACATCCTCAACAAATTCTGAAACATAAGCTTTTCGCTAGGGACATCCTCGAATTTTAATTCGCCGGCCATACGCGACCTCGTTATTTATCGCAAAAGAAATTCGCCGGCCCTACAGCCGTCAGATCCGGGGGTAAACAGCTAAAAGAGAACCCTGGGCCTGCGCCCTTTCCGGGAAAATCCGCGAGGATCACCAAAGATAATGTGAATGCAACTCTTTGGGGGAGGCCAACAAATACCGATATCACTAATCCCCAGACCTCTCCCGGGGTGCGATCTGACCAAAACTTCGAGGCGAATCCAGCGGTGGCGACGAGGGCCTCCCAGGAGGACCCCCAAAGGGGAATCGAGAGAAGGGTAGCGGTATCGGTACCTTTTTTCCTCCTCTGAGATCTCCAAAAGTTTATGTTTGTGTATTTTTTTGTTCCTCTTCGGCTCACGGCGGATAACCTCGCGCCTGACCGCCCGATGTAGCGTGCGACAGATCTCCCGACCCCATCCCCAGGGGGCCGTTTTCCGGCCCGGGTCCACACCTGATGGCCCCAGGGCCAACAGCGGGCCTCTGGGGCCGAATTCAGGGGAAAGGTGCCGGACCGAACAGAATCACATCGTCGGAGCGGCGGACAGCATCACGCCCCGAAGCCCAAACGATTGTGTGTTCTGATGTTTCTGGTAACGGTCGTGACCCTGGGAGGGGGGGGCAGGTAACGGCAACGCTTGGGCGGGGGGGGGCACGTCGGGGCGTCGGGGTGGGGGCGCGCTGCGATGGCCATGGTATTAGGTCGGGCGTGTCCCCTAGAGGCGGATTTGGGGCAAAACATAAAAATACTCCAAACATGTTCAAACATGTTCAAGAATGCTCCGGAAATCGTCCCCAAATTATTGTTTGACAGTGTTTGGATATTCCTCCTCTGGAGGGATAGGCCCGACTTAATCATGGTATGCGCGCGAGCGCCGTAACATGGGGTGGGGTCCGAGGCCCCCTCCCCTACGTGCGATCGTTACCGTTACCGGGGGTCCGGGTAACCACTGTCGCCGTTGCGCTCCAGATGGCAAGCAAAGAGAATCTCCTAAACAGCAAGAGCCACTTCCCCAGGGCGGGCCAGACAACATCCCCATCCATCTCGCGTCTTGAACATATCACGGCGGACGCTTTTTGTTGTTGTTGTTGTTGGTGTTGCTATGTTCTGGCTCTGGGGGCCCTCGCTGGGCCGACTTCGCAGATCTCCGACGATATGATCTTTCAATCCGGGCGTTTGTCCACGATGCCAGCCGCTGGGGCACGTTGTCGGGCCCCGGGGCCATAACATGATCGACCCACGAACCCGGAAAGGAATATAGAAATGTAACGCATGGCAACGTTTTCAAATACACCTGATTGGGTGACGGGCAAATGCAATGCTGATTGTATCGATCTTGATGTACCGTGCCGAGGGCTGTGCTGTGCTGCACCGTGCTGAACTGCGATGTGCCATGCCGCGGTTGTGCTCTATAGCGTCGTGGATCGAGTCTTCCTTTGCATCCGAGTCCTGACCGAACTGATCTGGATCTGAAGCTCGAGCTGCCTGAACACATAGTAGCTGCCCCAGAGCTAATTGACAGGGGGACATGCCAGGAGGACGCGCCGCGAAACGTCCCAAGGGACGCGCCAGGCGACGTGCCAAAGGACGTGCCATGGGGTCGCACCGTAGGACGTGCCAAGGGGACGCGCTACGGGACATCCTCAAACTTCCTGCGCGCGGGACGTGGCACGCGCGAGACATCCCCGGAATTCCTGCGAGCGGGACGTGAAAACAAACATTTCGCTTGAGACATCCTCTGAATTCTGGCCCCCCACGAGGCCCCCGCTCGAGACATCCCCCAAGTCCCACCAGCCCTCTGGGCGTCGGTGGTTTAACGAGTTTCCACTTCCACCCCTCCCTCTTCCCCTTCGGGGAGGGGTTTACCCCTCCCACTACCCCCTCCCCACTGACCTGGACAGGGGGTTCCGCGGCGCGTTGGAGCGCCCAAGATGGCCCAAGACGGCTCCAAGAGGGCCTCAGGGAGCCCAAGATACCCTCCAAGATGGCTCAAGATAGCGCAAGATGCCTCAAGATGGTCCCCATGATGTTCCAAGACGTTCCAAGAACTCTCCAAGACGGTTCCAAGTGCCCACAAGAGCATCATTAGGATGCATCCAAGAGGCCAAAATGCTTCAAAACCCTTGGGAAAATCAATGTGTTTGGTGTTCTCACTTTTTCGCTTGCGATGCACATCCGAGGATAGCTCCAAGAAGGGCCCAAGAAAGCCCCATGACGGCGCCAAGAGCGCCGAAGAGCGCTCCAAGAGCGGTCCCATAGCGGTACAGGAGACGATTTTTGGAGTTCCTGGGGGGGGGGCTCTAATTCAGGAACCCTACTTCCTTGACCGATGTCCTGCAGGATTGCCCCAAGAGCGCCCCAGCAGGGCCTTCAGGGGCGCCCAGACGGGTCCAAGAGGAGCCCAAGCCTCCCAAAATAGCTTCCCAAGAAGTCCCACCAGCCCTCTGGGCGTCGGTGGTTTAGAGCGTTTCCTCTTCCATCCCTCCCTCTTCCCCTTCGGGGAGGGGCTTACCCCTCCCCCTACCCCCTCCCCGTGGACCTGGACGGGGGAGGCCGCGGGTAGTTAGAGCGTCCAAAACGACCTCGGCGAGGAAGCCAACATGATTGATTTTACTACGGTTTTGGCCCCATGTTGGCCTCCTGGGGGGGGGGGACCGTAATGAGGAACCGCCCTTCGTTGACCGATCTCCTCCAAGATGGCCCCAAGAAGCGCCCAGGAGGCACCAAGAGGTCCCAAGATGGCCCCAAGATGGCCCCAAGACCCGAGGCCAAGACCCCGAAGAGCCCCCCAGGATCGCCAAGAGACCCCCAAGACGTTCCAAGAGGCCACCAATAATCGCCCAAGAGGTACCCCAAGAGGCTCCGAGAGGCATCCAAGAGACCTCTGGCCCCTGTGCTTGCCCTCCTCCTCCTCCTCCTGTTCCTCCTTCCTATTCCTACTCCTTCTCTTCCTCCTCCTCCTCCTCCTCCGCCTACTCCTATTCATCCTCTTTCTTCCCACTCCCTCATCCATCCATCCATCCACCTCCTCCTTCTCCTCCTTACTTCTTTGCACGGTTCGGCCGTCCTCCTCTATGCTGCCGCACTTCCCTGATCACCTCAACTCGCCTGGACATCGTTTCTGGATGGGCTGGTGGGGATACGCGAAGCGTCTAGAATTTGCAAAACCAGCGTTTCGCTCGAGACATCCTCAACAAATTATGAAAAACAAGCGTTTCGCTCGATACATCCGGTCAAAATCCAAGGACATCCTGGCAAAACAAACGAATTAGTCGAGACATCATCAAAATTCCTGCGCGCGGGACGCGGCACGCGCGAGACATCCTTGGAATTCCTGCGAGCGGGACACGAAAACAAGCATTTCGCCTGAGGCATCCTCTGAATTCTGGCCCCCCACGAAGCCCCCGCTCGAGACATCCCCAAATTTTGCAAAACCAGCGTTTCCCTAGAGACATCCTCAACCAACTATGTAAAAAAAGCGTTTCGCTCGAGACATCCTGCCAAAATTCTAAGAAATCCTGACCCAACAAGCGAATTAGTCGAGACATCCTCGAAATTCCTGCGCGCGGGACGCGGCACGCGCGAGACATCCTCGGAATTCCTGCGCGCGGGGCGCTTTTCCGCGTCGCGGTCGGGGCTCCAGACACTCGTTATTTGTCTCGAGGATTCTACCCCGAAAAACACTCCGTCACACTCTTTTTTACGAGGTCACGAAAACAGAAGTCTGCGAACCCCGTTTTTTATCGAGGATCCGAGATGGGGGGCGCACTTTCCTAGAGCGGGCACGCACGAAACGCACTTTTTCGACTGAAAATCAGCACTTTACCTCGTTATTTACGCAGGATAATTTCGCCCGCCCTCTTCAAGTCGAAACCGGGGGGTCTACTAAAAGAGAACCCTGGGCCGGCGCCCTTTCCGGGAAAAACTGATCTGGGGCGATAGACTACCCCTGGGGAAAGGGGTGGGACTTCTCGGGCCGCGTATTGAACAAATCATAAGTATCGTCGGATGTCGGGTTTGGAGGTCTCGAGTTGGTCTGGCGGGGCCGTCAGAACAATGGCGCGAAGTATGATCTGAAACTTGGCGCGACCTCTCGCTGCAAACATGTCACGAACACTGGGCCGTCAGCACTTACGCCGGGGCCATGAAACCGCGGCGCGCACAGACCATACCATACCATACTATACCATACCATACTATACCATACCATACCATACCATACCATACCATACCATACCAAACCATACCATACCTCCTCCTCCTCCTCCTCCTCCTCCTCCCTCCTCCCTCCTCCCTCCTCCC